ATTTCAGTCCCTGATTTCTTGAGAGAAAGAGAGAGAGAGAAAATTAACTGAATATTTGATTACCGAAGGCCATCCTCATAAGCAAAACATTTTTGCTCAATTATGCCTAATTATTTAATTGTTTGCATTTACTAATGAAATGAGACAAGAAAAAATAAACAACTCTACGGGGCTGTTTTTCAGCAAGTGTGTATTCATCAATCACCATGTACAGAAAGATTCTCAAAATTACACGAAGCTGGTCTGTTTAAATAGAAAGGCATATTTTATCCCAATCAATGCATAAAAGTGGAATTATCCAGAGCTGAGGCTTGTTTCTCCGCTGTACAGTTCAGCTGTAACGATCTCCACACACTGCACTTGCACATCAATTATGATAATCATAATCACGGTCGTTAAGCTGAATGTTCATTACTATCAGGATGCTGGTGACAGCAGATTCAATCACTGGGGGCCCTGGGCAGCAGTCACAGTCCCACCCAAGTTTCCGCAGACAGCGATGTGCCACATTAAATCTACGATGTCTTCGACATCCCCCTCCATTCCAAAAGCCGCAGACAGTAAAGGTCAACTTTATGTTCTGTGCAATATGCTTAGGTTCTCTAAATTAATTCTTTGGACTTCTGGATATTTTTATGCTTTGTAGCTTATAAAATCCTGTTTGGAACCAAAATGCATGTGAAAATAATGGGAGAGGACTGCTGGACTGTTGTAATTCATCTATAATAAGGCATGTGTGGAGAGGCTCCATCCGTGGAAAGGCTCCATGCTAAAAGAGTCTCCTCCTGAATTTTGTAAACGAGGAACAGCATAAAATGGTTCCACTGAAATCAGTTGTCTAAAATGCATATGAGAATTCATTCCAATTCAGATTAAGACCTGAGACTACCATTTCCGCTTCAGTAAATATGAACATATGTGAATGTTTTCACAACCCAAAGAATGTTTTTAGTACCCTGAATTTTTTATTGTCCAACTCTTTTAGACTGCTCAAATAGATTGAATTAATTATGACTGACTGGTAGGCTTTCCTTATTGAATTTCACATCTCTTTTCCATATTGAGCTCAGTACAATAAAGAATGTATATATACAGAGTTTTAACCTGAACTGAAAAGTTTGACCATTTAAGACAAAGATGTAGAATCAAACAATTTAATTGGGGAAGTCTGTAAGTAGATCAAAGAAATATGACCCAAAACATGTACATGATTTTATTATTAACTGCTGCTTCATAAAAGAAAGATTATATATTGTCATTGTCATTGATTTGCAAAATTTCAGCAAAAACACGATTCATTCTCACTCTTCTGATTTTTGTGATTTCTTCACATAGTGCTCCAGATCAATAACATTAACAATAAAAGAAAAATTAAATATTTGATATTTATTTGCTGTAAATGTGATTAGAGAATGATATTGAATTCTTATTTTATTTTCTCCCAATGGATATCCTTTAACATAACTGGTTAAGAAATATTCTGAGAACTATAACTTCCATGTTTAAAGATGACAAAAGAGAAAGTAAATTCTTCATGGGCACAGTTTTAAAACATAATAGAAAGTTTAGACACTGGGAGGGAAATATACTACATTGTACCATTTCCCATCTGAAACCAACCTAATGCACTCAGCTAAATCTATACACAGTTCAGTGTAGAGAAAGCTTCCATCTCCCCAGAAGGCACCATGATTCCATGGCAGCCTTTTCTCTCTTCAGTATTTTGAATGTCACAGCTCAGGTCTCCCTGAGATGATCTTTAATCTTTAATAATAAGTAAATTATGGCCTCTACTTTCCAAGCTCAAAAAATAAAATTTCATAAAAGAAAAATAAGCCTACTTTTAACAACCTACTAGGTGTCCACCTAGTATCACATCAAAATATATTTTTAATAATTCTAAAATTTTACATATAACCAGCGAAATGACTTCTATACCATGTAGATTACACTTAGCCACACAGAGGGATAATCTGTTTATTTAATATGGTTTTTTTTAAGAGATAAGGACATGGGAAAATGAAGAGAGAGAAAAGGCAAAAAGAAGAAATGAAAGTTTGGAAGAAGGGAGGTACGTAAACTCGTGTTTAGTATTTCCTACAGTCTGGGTGGGGTTGAGGAGGGCCATAATTTATTACAATTTTTAAAAATCATTTTCCTTTTTTAATTTTCAGAGCATCTCAATTCTCAATTGCTAGCAGTTTAGAATTATTTATGATTACTTTTCTAATGTGTGCTCTCTAAAAGTATGCCGTAATGAATAATGATTCCTCCAAAGCAACAAAATAAGCTATTCTTTCTTTTTATAGTGTAGCCAAAAGTTTCTATATTGCCATGAAGTCGTTTACTTCAGTTAGGTTACAAGCATATTCTTAGAATATATCCGAATGTATAAAGTGATATCTATGGCAAAAAAAAGATGAAGTTTTGTATTATTTCAGGCAGCTAGCATTTTGCAAAAGCATATTTGTTGTTTTGAAGGAAGTTAATGTTCTAAGTCATTTATATTTTAAAGAAAGGAATAGTTCTTTGAATTAAATATAATAGTGAGAAGGCATTAAAGCACACAACCAGCATAAAATGAGATGTAGATTATAATATGCAACCAACATGAGAAAGTAAACAAATAATTAAAAATCATGTTTAGTTTGTATGCTGAATACTTACAGATTAGCTAAAAATCAATATGTACTAGTTTATGGATTTTTTAAAAATAAAATTATCAGCAAAATTTGGGCTTGTTAATCAGCTCCAATGGTGAATTAAATCAAAATACTTACTGTATATATTCCTCCTGCCATGAAATTGTGAGTGGTTTAGAAGACATTTTAGAAAAGTGACTGGGGAGCTATAAAAGGAAGATTCTATTCCAAAGAGTCCCTCTTACCCCCGAGTACGTTGCATTCCAGTATTTTCATTGTCCTTATAAAAAAGAATGGTCTCATTTTCCCTTCAGTTCCCATAAGTGTCTTCCTCATGAGCAATGAGGATGTGCTGTGACCTATGCATTCCTCTTCGTCTTGGCCAGTCAGAAGCTGAATGTCCTAAGTCACTGACTTTCATATTAATAGTTGCCCTTTACTGTGTGTGTGTATAAACTCTTGTCATCTAAGATAATTTTCTTTATTTTTATTTTTGCAGGATGACTTTCTTGTATTTGACTTTAATAAGGATCTTAAAATCCTTCATGGAAAGTAATGTGCATGTCAGCGGCTCTTCACTGACCAAAGATGAACAGAGCCACCTGGTCAGGTGGAATTGAAGCTTGAAAGCCCTAATCCCATCTGGAAAGTCACTTACCCTTCCCTTTCTCTGTGTACATTTTTGCTATAAATAAGTTATGGATTCTAATTGAAATAAACCTCCCTTTTCTACCTCCTACTGTACGGCACCTTGGTGTTTTACCTCCAGGCTTTTTTAACTTAAGAGGTTTAAAATATCCTGAAATCGGACAAGAAATATTAATTTGCTCTCTTCCTTGTTTTCTGACTAATGTTCTTAATTTGAAAGCCCTTGCTGAAATCTCAGTGTGGATAAGGAGCATTCATATTCACTGCTTTGCTTATTGCCTCCTCATAGGCTGATGGAAAGTTTTAATACAAGCCAAAAAAAAAGCAAATTTCTAAGCAAATTTCTTGCAGATATAAAGCATTACAAAATGAATGATAGAATTTGGAAGACTATAACAGCAAAATGATGATCACAATAGAAGTTTTTAGACAAAATCTGTCTTAGGATGTCCTTGGACAATGACAGAGTTTCTTTTTATGGTTAAAGCCCAACTTTCCCCCATTGACGCAGACAGTACAAAGGTAAAATTACACATGCATGTATGTGTACATACATATGTGACACATGCTTACTGTGCTGCATACATGTATGTACATCACATCTTTGGGATGGAACTGGGATCTCCAGAATTCAGTGAAATGTAGCTCCCAATTTGACTTTATGGGAGACAGGGCCTTTAAGGAAATAACTGAGTTCAAGTGAGATAATATAAAAACTAGTGAGCAAATTTAAGGTAAGAATACAAAAGCATGTGCTAAAAGGAACATATAACAAGGTAAAACCATACCTTATTCCTTATCTCATCCTCTGTGCCTACTAACATTTTTGAATAATAAATGGTAAAAAAGATCATGAATACAACACAGGCACTTAATCAGCCACCTCTGCAGAAGCCAAGAATAGAGGTGGGATTAGAGCAGCAAAGACGTGGGCCATGTGAACTAAAGGCCTGCAACTCTGGATAGAATAAAGGTGGGCTTTGGGCCTTCTCGGATTCTGTACACTTGGAACACTATTCTTCAAGAAAGGCAAGAATGATCCCACTGCCAATTTGGGGGTCCTCAGGGCTGCCACTTCCACCGCAGGTACAGAAGGCACAACTGTTTCATGCTTGGTTTCCGAGGCTGAGGCTGCCTCTCCTGCATGAAGAGTGTGGGATGACCCTGTCGAGGGCCTGCAGGTCAGCGCCACCCCTTACTGAAAGCCCAGGGCAAAGCCCTTGCAGAGCGAGTCTCTAGCCTACCTCTAGCTCCAGGTCCCTGGCAGCCACCACGCTCCTCTTTACTTCTGCATTTGACCTGTTTAGATTTTACATAAACAGGAGCTCTGGGCACCTTAATTTCTAGTAACACAAAGCCACGCGCAGACACAGGTGCAGAACTTGAAAGCATGTAAGCATGCACTGGTCTCCAGGCCTGAGAGTTATCTCCATTCTCTGCACGCCCAGCACTGCCACCCTGATCACACACCAGAGACGAGAAGGATGCCCTAGCCCTGCAGCACATGAATGACAATAGTGGAAAATAATTTAAATCTCTCGTGAACATAGGTCGGTTAACATAGGTTGGTGCCATCTTTAATAAAATAGCTATAAATACTTTTATAACCAGGAAGGCCTTATTGTAATGAGAATATTCATATTTTCTGTAATCAATGTATGTTTTTAACCTTTTGAAAGGAGCTCCATTTTCAGTGTTTTCTTAGCTCACCTTGTCACAGATCCATTTCCTAGGGTCTTCACTCCGAAAGTCTTGTTTTCCACAGGAACTGGGATCGTACTTGCTGGAGGACAGCATTGACGGCATGTACTTTTCTTTCTTATGGTAGGAAGAAAATGGAAGAAACCTGAAAGAATATTTAGGTAATTTTCTTAATTCAGTTTCTAACATCATTTAATTTTAAAAACTAAGGAGTAGCATAAAAGTAATGATGGTGTGGAGTCAGAACGCCTGGGCTCCACTTCAAGCCCTGCCACTGACTGTGCCTGACTTGATGAGTCTTCACTTCCTGTTCAGCAAATCAAGACCCTGCCACTGTCCTCATGGAGGTCCCGTGAGTTCCAAATATACTATAAATACAGACAGTATGGGATGATTAATTTGTGACTCAAAGATGTCAATTTACTCCAAATCTGCCATGTAAGCAAAATTTTCTCAATTTAAAAAAATCACCCCTCCAAAAGAAACAAACAAGAAAGCAACCAATAGGAGCAGCTCTCATTATAATGTGTTTCTTCAAATCTTAAATCACCATAAAAGTGCATAGAAACTATGCGAAATGGAGTTTTGAGTCTGCCCAAACCCTATTCAAGCCTCGGCTTTGCCTTTGCTGCTGTTAGCTGTGTTCTGTTACCAAGTCGCTGCCCTCTGTGAATCTCTCATCCAGGGTTGTTAGGAGGAACATTCATAATGTCATATAAGTAAAACACTTACAATATTTTATATGAATAGCATTTATATTATTTTATATATAATGCTATATCTATAACATCTATATTTTATATATGTACTATTATATATAAAACATTTAACACGGAGGCTGAGAAGAAAAAGTGTGCAATAAATAATAGTGGTGATGCAAGCAGAAGCAGAGGTGGAAGCAACTTGCTGCAGTCATCATTGTTACGAGCACCATTATGACTACCTTTAGTACGATCAACATAAAAGATCAAGCTTTTAAAACCCATACAAACTCACAGAACATCTGAGATTGTGGATGTGCTTTTCCTGTAACGTGGGGAATCACACAAATTCCTCACCTGACTCCACTAAAATAACAGCAAATGAATACAGAAGTTGTAAGCCTGTAAGAAGAAGGACAACCAAAGGTAAAGCAGCAGGTAAAAATAACAACAAAGTCTAGCAGGTGGGAAGGGGGAAGAAGACAGCACAGCTGGTAGGGAAGAGTTAAGAAAACTCAAAGTTGGGTGCTGGAAGAAGGGATGCCAAAGAGGAAGGAAGCACCTTGTCCTGCAGACCAGCGAAGCTGCAGGAACTGAAGCTACAAGTCCTGCAGAAGGCGAGGGTAGGGGATAATGCTGGAAGCGGGTGTAAGGTCTACGGAAAGCAGCCTGAGTCCCTGCTCCTGTCCACACACGGGTAAGAAGGGCCTGTTCTCAGAGCAGTTTACACCAAAGAGCTCTGCTCCCAGCAAAGCAGACACAGAGGAGACCGAAGCAGCGCGAGCTAGGACTCTGTGGCTTCAGCCAGCACTCTCCCCTCCCAGCTCACAGTCTCGCGGGTCTTGAGTGAGCCAGCAGCTGGACCTACATCCTGCACATCACACAGAGTTCCCGGAAACTGTCCAAGGCTCGACCCTTGGCGATGTCTCAAATAAAAGGCTCTGTCAGAGGGCGATAAAACGCCTGTCACTGGTCAAAGAGCCATTCACACACAGTTTTTGACCTGGTTATCTAGAGTCTCCTTTTAAATACGGATTTGGAGAATTCATATAAAAGGAAGGCAAAAATCTAAGCATGAAAGGAAAACATGGAACAGACTTTCACAATTTCCTTTATAATGTAGAAAACCAAAGTGAACTCAGAAATTTCTGGTAAATATAATCAAAGAAGATATGCTATTGGGGGCTGGGGATTTAGCTCAGCGGCAAAGCGCCTGCCTGGCAAGCACAAGGTCGTGAGTTCGGTTCCCGGTACCGGAGAAAAACCAAAAAAAAAAAAAAAAAAAAAAAAAAGAAGATATGCTATTAATAAAGAGCTAGATTTTATAAATATATATAATTTTATATATATATATATATAAAAATTCTGGGAAATAAATATATAAGTAGCAAAATTCTGATGAGAAAAATATTTTGAAATTCAGACTTGAAAAAATTAAGGTTGAGGTTCAACAAATATTTATTGAGCCATCCATGACCACAGATCAAAAATTTCTCATATGTCTTGTTAAAGACAATGACATTTAAAAAATAAATTTAAATTCAATTGAAATTTTTGGTTCATTACCACTATGTTCATAAAATTCCTTGAAAAATATGGCGCTGGGGATTTAGCTCAGTGGCACAGCGCCTGCCTGGCAAACGCAAGGTTGTGAGTTTGATTCCCCATACCGGAAAAAAACAAAACCAAAAAAAAAAAAAAAAAGAAAAGTAATAAACTCAGAAAAAGTATCATCAATTTTCCTACCTGTGCAATTTCTTTCTAACATTTATTAATAAACTCCTTAATATTTTTCTGAAGAAAATATTTTCTAATAATACTTAAAAACAAATAAATAGATTATGGAACTTGGAATATTTGAAGTTATAGAGGTCTGGGAAAAACCTCTCAGATAAAAGAGATCATGGTTCTTCCAGTGCTGATTTCACATGAGATGCACATCACATGCAAAAAACGAATGTGTCCCCGGTCCCTGCGTACCCCAAGGAGGTGCCATGAGCCCACTGCAGCACTGACAGTTCTTACCACTTTGGAGCTGCATTCTCATAGTCCATTTTTCTTCTGTGTCTGCACAAAATTTGCTTTTGGGGGGAGTGGGGGACTGAGAAGAAAAAGCTAAAAGACGAGGTGTTTCCTTGCCCATGAATTAACTCCACTGCCATTTACCCATAAGATTTCATTAAATGTTAGAAGGAACATTAATTTCATTAATATGCATGCATATTCTGAAGTTTACTATGTTTTGTACATGTAAATATGTATATATATTTAAAAATATTTAGATGTTTTATAAATAATCTTGAAATAGCATTTGTCTTTAAGTTAAAGTAGAAATTATTTAATTCACAAATATGACTTGATCAATAAATTATAAATAGCAAGGCTGGGGTTATTCAGTGGTAAAGAGTTTATCTAGTATGAATGATGCCCTGGGCTCCGTCCCCAGTAATGCAAAGGGAAAAAAAGTATAAATAGCTATGAAAACCCTAAAAATCACAAATATATTATTATTTCAGATAATTACCAATTAATTTTAAACAGTTATCCTTTACAAGTTTTGAATATATGTTTGGTTGTACTTTATGCTTTTTGTGAATAGTTTTCAATTAGCTGAACACCATGTTAAAGAAGAAGACATGAGTTGGCCTATTTGTTTTTATGGTCTTACCAAGGAGACAGATCTGGCCAAAACTCTTCACAGCAATGTTCAGATACTGTGGTTATATACAAACAAATCGTTACATGAACATCTGGGCAGTTATAGAGGAACTGGTAGTGATCTCATGCAGCAAAAGTCAATTTAGCTTCAGGGATAACAAGTCTATTTCAAATATAGTATAAAGTCTTTCTATATTAACAGTTAATGTACACAATGCAACTTTCCAAACAATAACATCAACACATCGCTCATTTTTTTCCTTTTAATTTTCATTTTCTTCCTTTTCATTTAGTCCTACTACTCACAATTCTAGGTTTTCCATCAACTTATTCACTCCACTGATGGCCAATGCAAATCCTCAAATTATGAACTGCTACTGCTCATTTCTTCAATCCTAAATTCTTCAATCCAGCAGCCAAGCTTCTCAGAATGCACCTGAGTGCTTTCTCATTCAGTCTTCTGCCGTCTCCATTGAGGCTGCCATTCCATTGAGGCTATTTGCTTTCCTGTCTTTCCTCTCCCACCTTGCCCCAGGCCTCTGTGCTCCTCCCCCCAAGATGCAGACCTGTGCACTACACACCTTACCAACTCTCTATTGTCTAAATATCTGCTCCATAAATGCACAATAAATGATGTGCTTTTGCACACTGAGCACTTTGAAAAACACAGCAGTGCAATAGCAGAAGACCCAGCAGGCTGAAATGGACTTGACCTTAGAATAGGGCTTCAGTATGAAACGAAGTCAAAACCAAGTAGAATGCCATAGGTTATGCAATGAATATGTGCAAAAGAGGAAGAGTTATGCTTGTTTGTGCATGTGGGGGGGTTATGGGCAGGGAGCTAGAGAGGGAGGGGTAGAGAAATCATCTTCCCACACTGCCTACCAAAGCTGAGGATAGAAGGATGATGGAGTTCATCAAGTTAGGAAGTGGTGAAGGCTGTTTTAGAAAAGAAAGCAACACACAAATTGAGTTAGGACATAAAAATGAATGCTGAAGGCACAAAAAAGGGCTCAGCATAGCTTCAAAATTGAGTTACTTTGAAGTAAGCAAAGTAGACCAGAAAAGCCTTAGAGTGGAGATGAGGTACCCTATTATAGAGAATACGTGTAGTAACATATGACAGGTCTTTATACATTGCAAAAGATTTCTCTTTATTTTTACATGTATATGGATTCTGACTGCCCAATAGGGTACTCATCCAAGCTACAGTAGATTCTGTCTTAGGTACATTATTTCAAAACTGGATGTGGTGGTGGTGATTTATCGATATTAAGATTCATGACTATGGAACAGGTCTCAGACACCAAACATGTCATAGATCAGCCCTCTCTCTGTCAAAGGGCTTCTAGTACAATATACACACTAAGCAAAAAGCAGGGTAAAGGGACATTTTATTACAAGTTAGGAATTGGGCTGCAGACTGCAATAAATTCTCCAATGAGCTATTAGGAAGCACACAAATATGTCTTTTTGTCTAGACTAGAGGCAGCAGAATTAGTGAGCTACAGTGAGTTTCTCCCAAAATTTACAGCAGAGCTTATAGAAACCATGCTTTCTAATCTGTGCATTGCTCCTGGACCTGGCCACCGTGCCTTAACCGTTAGCAAAAATCAGGGCTGTGCTGAGAAGGCACAGCAGCCTCACCAGGAGAATGGGCTTCCTCTCTCTCCACTGGCCAGTAAGAGAGAAAACAGACTCCTCCAAGGATTCTCCTCACAGCAAGTACATCCACAGTGACATCTTTTTATTTAAATTTCCCAAGGGGGCAAGAGAATCTTTCTAG